CAGGGGAAAGGAAAGTAGGGAAAGGAAAAATGATGAGAAATGGAAAAAATGGAAATAAAGTCTTTGTAAATAGGGAAGGGTGGAGGGGTTGAAGGAAGGGCTAGGAATGGGGAGAAAATAAGAACCAAGATGCATTATGTAAAGGTACAATTCCCAATGAGAAATGTAATTGTGCTGTATACCTACAATGTACCATTAAAAGAATTTAACAATAAAAAAAATGGGCTCAAAGAATACAAGATAGTGCTGCAATTAGAGCCTTGCCTTGGGCCTAATTTTCTTACTAATAGTTGTGTGATCACCATTTAATAATTTACTTCATCACAGTGTTCTTTTTAGAATAAAAGATTTAGATAAAAACACAAAATTCTTTCATATAAATGTATAGTTTTCATATGTGATGCATAACTTGGTTTTAAAAGTCTGTTGAAAATGCCAATTCTGTTTTAAAGTTTTTATGGTGAGATCACAAAAATGATCTTATACAGCAGTGCATATAGTAGTAAAAATAAATGTTTTTCCAATTGTCTATCAATAACGAGTAACTAGTGAGTTATGGAAAGTATATCATTAAGAAAAAGGATACAAATTTATTTGTTATGGAATGTTGTTTATGATGTGTGAACTCCAACAATAATAAAATTTCATATATAAATCCAGTTATTCTTAGGAAAAGAAATACATGTGTATTTGTATAACAATGCAGGTGTACATAGCACATTTTGTTGAAGTATACAACAAGGTGAATAATAGTGTTTTTCTCTGGATTGTATCAATGGATTATTTTTACTTTTAAATCATTCTACTTTTTAAAATTGTACTTTATGGAAAAACATATATAATGACATAGTATTTACCATCTTAACCAAGTTTCATTTTGCAGTTCATAGTGTTAAAATATATTCACATTTTTATGTAACTCATCTCTAGAACCCCTTTCATTTTGTCAAACTGAAATTTAATAAGTAGCACCTCTCCATTTCCCTCCTCTTACTAGTCCCTGGAAACCACCATTCTACTTTATTTTGAATTTTAGTTAGTGGATTCGTAAGCGTTTCCGTTTGCGTGCCTTGCGGGACGTTGGTCTGGGTGCGGAACCCATCTTAATTCCTTTGTTCAGCCTCTTTCCCTCCCCTCTCCCGCTCCCCAATCCCTTGACCCCCTTCCCCTTTGACAATGATCTGTCTCCCAATTTCTTATTATCTTTTGTTTTGAACTTTATTTTTACTTTTGGTTTCTTACATAAGAGGAACAGTGTGACATTTAAGCCTGTGTGTCTGATTTATTTCATTTAACATTATGGTTGGAAGGTGGATCCGTTTTCCTACAAGTGACTCAAGTTTATTTTTCCTTATGGCACATTGGTGCTCCATTGTGTGTAAATACCACATTTTCTTTATCCGTTCATCTGTTGCTGGGCATGTGGGCTGCTTCCAAGATTTAGCTATTATGAATTGTGCTGCTATAAGCACCTGTATGCATGTATCACTGTAATATGATGTCTTTAACTCTTTTGAGAAGATACCTAGAAAAGGAATAGCAGGTCAAATGGAATTTCTAGTTTTAGTTTTGTGAGGAATTTCCATAGTGATTTCCATAGTGGTTGTACTAATTTACATTCCTACCAATAGTGTAGAAGGGGTTCTTTTTCTCTTGCAGCCTCTCTAGCATTTGTTGTTATTTGATTTCTTGATGATGGCCATTCTTTCTGGAGTAAGATAGAATCTCAGTATTCTTTGTTTTTCTTTTCCTGGTCCTGGGGGTCAAACTCAGGACCTTGCGCTTGTGAGGCAGGCACGGTGCCACTGAGCTAAATCCCTAGCCCTGTTGTTTTATTTTGGATTTCTTGAATGGCTAACGATGTTGAGCATTTCTTCAGGTATTTATTGTAATACTGTATAATTCTTTGTAATTCATTTGTAATTCTTTTGTGAAGTGTCCATTTCATTTGCCTCCTCTACTTTATATCTTTATGACTTTGACTTCTCAAGTACCTCATGTAAGTAGAATGACATACTGTCTTTTTGTAATTGGCAGTGTCCTCAAGGTTTATTCATGTAGTACCATGTGTCAGAACTTTCTTCTTTTTAAAGGCTGAATAATATTCCACTATATATGTGTGTATTTATGTATGTATTTGTATACATATATTTCACAATTTGCTCATCCATTCATTCATCAGTGGGCATTAAGGTAATTCCATCTTTTGGGCATTATTATTAATAGTGGACATTATTATAGTGACATTATTAATAGTGGACATTATTATTGTGAACAGTACTGCTACGAATATGGTGTATGAATATCATTTTGAGACTAACATATTTTGGATTAAACTTGTAAACTGAATTGCTGAATCATATGATACTTGTATTTTTAATTGCTTTGAGAAGCAACCATTTTTTTTTTTTTAAACCGGGATCTTGTGCTTGCCAGGCAGGCATAGTGCTGCTGAGCTACATCTCCAGCCCTAACCATACTGTTTTTCAAAGGCCTTCACTATCTCCCATTCCCATCAACAGTACTCCAATATTCTGATTCCTCTGTATCCTCAACACGTATTTTCTATTTTTTCATGCAGTCATTCTAATAATATATGTGTGATGGTTCTGTATTATTTAAGTGTTGCTATAAACCTTTATAGTTAATGGACAGTAGAAATATTTTTATTTTGTAAAAATGAATGCACAACTTTAATATTTTTTTCTATTACAGCAGGTACTGTATTTATTTTGAATGCAATAGTAACTTGTAGTATTGGGGTTGATTTAGGATAAATTAGGAGCTTTTTGCTGAAGAGTAAAGTTTTTATTAAAGCACTATGACTATCTTAGCAGATAGGTCTAGTTCTTCTAAAGTTTTCTACTAGAAAAATTGTTCTCCACTAGAAATTAAATCCACAAGACTTGTCAGTCTTAGTAAATATAAACTGCTAATTTTTGATAGAACACTTTTGCCTCAGCATTTATTAACTAATTAAAATTGAGTTTGTCTTTTTGAAAAACAATTTGATTGATCAATACTACCATAAAAATAATCTACTTTAAGTGTGCAATCAGTGATTTTTAGTAAATTTTCTGAGCTATTTAACCATCATGCAAACCAGTTTAGAAAATTCTCATCATTACAGTAAGGTTCCTCATTACCAGATCTTTCTCATCTCTTTGTCAAACACAGAATTGGTGGCAAAAGATTTGTTTATAAGAGAGCTGTATTTATTGCTTCATTGAAATGAATACGAAATATCTTCTATTTAGTGTATCCTCTTGCGCCAAACATACAGATTGTTGAAAAGTGTAAATTTTATTTTGGGGGAAAGTAATTATATATGTGAAATGTGTTAGAATTTGCACAACTTTTGGTAAGGACAGTCTGTATCAAGGGGAAAAATTCTTTCATGTCTCAAAAATATTTCATTTGAAATTATTTTTGATCATTTTTTTAGTAGATCGTCATTAAAAAGATTGACAAATCATTGAGAAGCCCCTTTAATTACTTGCTGCACTTAAACATCAATACTTCCTAAGTATTGAGAACTAAATGGATAGAACAGTTTATCATTAATAGGATAATAAATACAGTTGTTGGCAACATTGGTGTTTTCCTCCTAAATCACCAGAGGGCACTCTTTTCTAGTATATTATTTTTAACTTTGAGCAATTGAATTATTGTATTGTGGCTTGGAAAACTTGCAGCCTGTTATTGAATTCCAGGTGTGGATTATTTAAAAAGCAATGATTACTTTCTTTTGTGACTTTGATTTTAATAGTGTCATTAGAGGGCACTACAAATATGTGCAAATTAAATGCTTTAGGCAGTAATGTATCTGACATAAGCTATTGCCCCAATTTAGAGCTTTATCATGTCACTGTTTGTCATTATTCATATTGAGGTTTCAGATCGAGTGGAACGGAGACTTCAGGAAATAGAGAGAGAGATGCGTACAGAAAGAGAACTGGTGGAAAGACGCCAGGATCAATTGGGACTGATGTCCTTACAGCTTCAGGAGGTTTGTAAGAAGCACTTCATTGGAATATAAATCTTAAATTTGGATAATTACTTAATCATTGTTAATAATTGTACTTCTTTAGTTGCTGTACCTGACATAATTTAACCCATATAAGAAGTAGTATAGAACATTGGTTAAGTTCTTCGTATAGAATCAGACTTACCTTGGTTCATACTTGCTGTCTCTGTGATCCTGGCCAAGTTTTTAAACTTCTTTAGGTCCTATTTTCCTTTGTGGAAAATGGAAATAATAATAATGTATATGTAACAGGATTAGTGCAAGCATAAATGAGTTAACGCTAGTCACGCACTTAACATAGTGTCTGACATATGCTCATAGAACATTGAAAATAAAATTACTCTGCTTAATTATTTTTAGGGATGGACTAGACTTGGGGGGGGGGTCTTTAAATTGTGGCCTGTGGGCCAAATCTGACTCACTATTTTGGTAACTACAATTTTATTGGAAAACAACCATTCTTTTTTATTTGTATATTATCCCTGAGTGCTTTTATAGCACAATGACAGTGTTGAGTAGTAATGACTGGAAATGTATGGCCCATTGGCCTAAAGCATTAACAGTCTGGCCCTTGGCAGAAGAATTCTCCCAACCCCTGAATTAGTTTATCAAACTCAGAATGGAGAATGTTACCCTTCAGGTAGGTACTATTGTTTGTTTGTTTTTTTTATTTCAGATTTATGATAAAGTTGAAAATTAGAACAGTTTTGTTTTGAGCCTTTTTTTTTTTGTGCTAGGGATCGAATTCGGGTCCTTGCGCTTGCACAGCAGGCAGCCGAAACCACTGAGCTAAATCCCCGGCCCCTGAGACATTTTTAAGAAAGTTGCAGATGTAAATACTTTTAGATTTAAGTAATTTGTTATATATATATATATTCTTCCCTAATCACAGTACAAAATCAGGAAGTCAGTATCAGTACAATAGTATCATTTAATCTACAGGTTATGCAAATTTTGTCAGTAATGTCTTTTCTGATCCAGGATAAACATCCAGATTTAGACATGGCATTTAGTTATGTCCCTTTAGTCTCCTTTAACCTGGAACAGTTTTTTAGTTGTCATCTGTGATGACTTTGCAGTGTCCTAGCAATTTATTTTGTAGGATGTGTTTCATGTTGGGTTTGTTCTATCCTTTCCAAAGTATCGTATCAGAAGTCATGTAATGTTGATTGGTCACGTTACTGGTGAAAATTGAATACTTGGTTACGATGTTGGCTACTGGGTTTCTTTGCTATATAGTTACTATTATTCTTTTAAATTCTTTGTTTCATGAGGAAACTGTTTGAGACTTGAAAATACTGTTTCTTTTTAAAATCATACTATGCCATATTACTTTTAGCATCTGTTTTGATTCTTACCTGGAATAATTATTACTGTAAGTGAAATAAAATAGTAATTTTTAAAAAAAATCTATTTTTTCTTCTACATTTATGGACTTTTTCTGTAAGGAAGAACTTGTGGTGTAGAGTCATACATTCTAACTACATTGGTTATATTTCATTATTTTCATTTTAGAAAATTAATTTGTTGAAATTTCCTTTTGTTTCTTAAATCTATATCCTGAGTATAACAGGTGTGTACTGCCATGCTTTCCTAGGAGGCTGGTTTCATAGACATAAAAGCTAAAGAAGTAAAAAAATTAGAAACAAAAAGAAAACCAAAAGATTAAATACAAATGAAAAACTTTTTTAAACAATGTTTTTTTCTAAAATTTCTAAAAATATACTAATGTGCACTTTCAGATTATTAGCTTTTATCAGTTGACAGTTTTCTAAATATTAAGAGACACTGCCAGTTCAAAATTAGGAACAAAAATTGCAACCCTGAAATTATAATGTTAGTTGAAAGAAAAAATCTGCTTTTGATTTCTAAAATTCCATTTTTTTCCATTTCACAAAAGGAGGCATACCCTTGTTAGTTGGTAATTACTTACAAGAGGATATTTTGTTGAATAATTAGATACAGCATGTGGGTAGCCTTTTTTTTTAACCTTGATTTTTATACATTTATTCTCAAAGCAAATTGCATCTGGTGAGCATAAGAATAGTACTGAAGAGACAATTGTTCTTTTTTGCAAGAGAAAATTAGAGAAATTTTCTGTACTTATTTTTTTTCTCTCTTTGCAGAATGCACAAAATTACAAAGAAAGAGGGAAGGAAGATTGCTTCCCACCCCTATTCTTGAGAAACCAAGTCTCAGTATTTGCATTGTAATTGTCAATTTGACTAAAAGCTAGAGCTGTGATTTGGAATTCCATCTCTGACAATACAGTAGAGGGTTGTTGTTGATGAGAGATGTTTAATTTCATATTTTGTCACTTTAATATAAGCAATGACCTATATGTTTTTAAAAGGTGGTTTTGGATTATAAACTGCCGTGGGAACTGGAAAAGATTAACTTAGGCATTTTCCTGCTTCCAAGTTAAATTTCTTATCTGAAAAGGTCATGTTTAAGGAAAGAAGATGCTTTGTTTTCCTTTTCATATTAAAAATCATTATGGAAATTCTTATACAGTCTGATAATATGTATTTTGCTTCTTGCTGTAGTGAGAAATTGAATCCATAGGTAAGTAAATAGGTGCTGACTTTTAGGCACTATGCTCTTTCGCTTCCTCAAAATACGTATTTCAATGTTAGTGAAAATTATGACACATGAAAGTTATTAAGAATTGGGAGAATTCATTAAAAATCCCAGCATGTCAAAGCTTCCTAGGTGCAATGTCATATTGCGAGGAAACAGTTTGCGGTTTTGGTTGAAACCTGCTGCTTTTTGGTGATCTAAAGTTCTTAGATCCAGGGAACTTTGTTTGTTCCCATTTAACGAAAAACAGTGTTCATCATTGGAAATTGGGCAAGAGAGAGCCAGTCTCCTTTTTTAAAGTTTTTAAGGAATTGTTCACTCTTTTCTGTTGCTTTTCTCCTGGTCTGAACACTTCCTATTTTGAGCCACAACCGCTCATACTACTGAAGTCAGATGAATGCTGGATTTTAATTTAGTAAGGCTCTTCACTAGCCATCAGGTTTTATATATCATACTTTAAACACTCTGTTTTGATATCTCAGTAGAAGTCTCTTCTTTAGGAGAGATGAATATTTTTATATAGGTTGTGAAATAACATTCTTTTCAAATATCTCATTAATTTTGAGTGATTGTTCTAGAACTTTAAAACTTTTTAAAAGCAAATTTAAATGTTGTCAATTTTTCTTTGAACTGTTATGTAAACAAAGTTTCCTTACTATAAGGATATGTTTTCATATGACAAGCTCCTTTTTATCAGATGGCTCCTAGTAACCTAACTTGATGCAGTGAAGGGTAGCCCTGGTGGGTGCTAGTGTTGGGAAGGAGCTAATTATATTACAAGCATAAACTCTCCATTTTTTTGTGCAGCTTCAAATTTCATATAAAATCTTCTCTTGGGTGTACATCTTGGGAATTTTTGACTAGTCTTTTTTTTAAATTAGATGTTTCATGTTAATTGACTGTTTCTTCATCTTCAGTTGAATTACTTAAAATATAAAACCATAAGATAAATGCTGGGTGTATATTTATATGTGCTTTTCAGACTATTTCATAGCATATTAAATTGCTAATTCGTCCACTTATATCCATCAAGAATATTTCATGCTTGCATATGACAGAGGGTAATTCAGGTGCCTTAAAATTTAAAGGTAGCCAGACATGGTGGTGTATACCTATAATCCCAGCACTCTGAGTCAGGAGGCTTACCAGTTTGAGCCCAGCCTGAGCAACTTAGTAACTTAGCAAGATCCTGTCTCAAAATTTTAAAAAATTAAAAAGGCCTGAGGAGGTAGCTCAGTGGAAAGGCCCTGAGTTCAATCTCCAATACCCCTTTCTTCCCAAAGAAACGTGATTCATGGGGAAGTCATACAGGCAGGGACACAGAACCTTAATAGAGGGTAAAGAAGACTAAGGAACTGTTGAGTCTCTAAGGTGAGAGCTGTGATCAGTGGCAGTCTGTGTTAGAGCAGAAAACCAGATTATGTGAGACTTATCAATAAAACAGTCATACAGAGAAAATTGAGGTAATTGTTTTTTTCCAGTATTTTTCTTCATCTTTTGTTATAAGCACCAAATTTTAAAAACCTAATGAAGAAGTAGCTATTAATTCTTGCACAGCAATGTATTGTCTCCAGAGAAGCTGAGTAATATGGGTACTTCACTTAAAAAAACCCTTGGTACTGTTTATTAATGTATTTTGTTTGGACTCATTAGGGGAGATGCTTCCAAGCCAAGGGTGTTGTTCTAATGTCTTTTTTTTTTTTTTTTGGTACCAGGGATCGAACTCAGGTCCTTGAGCTTGCA